TTCTACTGAAGCCAGTCCCTAACTCCGGGGACTTCCGGCCGGGGACTTCGGGTGGCAGTATACGCCGTGAAGTTGTTTGCGGCCTGCCAGTAAACCCAAAGCAGAAGAAGAAGAAGTGACGTCAGCGGCTTCATTTGCCTAATCCACCCCCAGGAACTAATTTCCGGTGTGAACGCGATCTGTACTTAGTTCATGAGAACTAAAGAGTTCTCAGGAACCTTTGTGGGAAAAGTACTTGGTGTGAACGCGCCTAAAGTGAAAGCTCAAATTGAGCATATAGGGTAAGGTATAAGGTTTGACTCTGGTTCAAGTTGAGTAGCAGTCATGTTTTGAGATTGGCATGAGGTCATCTTCAGAGCTCTGTGTGCAGCCCACACTGCTTTTGTCTTTGTTTGTGAGCAGCTTTGTGTTTCAGGATCACTAACGACAGAAGTCCTAATCCCTGTCTGTGTACACTTTCACAAAACAAATCTCTACCCATGAACGCAAAGCCTCGCGGATCAGGTTTCAACAAGTCAATTGCAAACCCCAGAACCAGTAACCAAATGAAGTACAGTCGGTCCAAACACTGAGAGCAAAGCAGGGTGTTGTGGGTAAATGAGTGAGGGGATGAATGGTGCAGATGTGCCATAGAGATAGTGGGAGTGGGGGAAAGAAAAGACAGGGAGTGGCCGGTGGAAGTTTAAACTTGTTTCCAGACAGCTGATGCTTCGGTTTGTTGTTTTAAGGTAAACACACCTGTTTGTGTGTGAGGGACTGTACGTCATTGTTGTATTTGTATGATCTGCACAGTCTCTTCTTATCGCTGCTCTTTCCTGCCGCCAATTGATTATTTAAAATGCTCCTTTCATGTTTCCACTTGCTTACTAAACCCTAAAGTCCTGATACTATAGATCCTAGCTTATCATCTCTTGTCTTTCTTATTATATTGATTTACCACAAGTTCCTCTTCCCCTGTGGATGATACAATAAAAGCTACTGTCGGTATTGTATACGTCTATATTACACATACATACAGTAGGAATGGGATGACATGGGATTTGAATTTTGTTGCAAATAAAGATGTCAACACAAACAATAAACTGATCAGGGTACATTTCCATTAGTGGCTTACAAAGCTGTCTAGTTTAATTTCATTGTATGGAAGTGAAAAAAAAGCAAGATAACAAAAAGAAAGAAGGAATTATCATGAAGAAAAACGACTCAGAAAGTGTTGCTATTGAAATTGGATATATCTATTACCCTATGCAGATTTAAAATGATCTTATTTCATATTGTTTGATGTTCTCTTTAAAGGATAACAACTTCAAAACACATGTCGTCAATCTGTGCCACGATCACTGTAAGGTAAAAAGGTCCCAGTAGGTTTTTAGAGTTTCACATATTTCACTAATTTTCAGGATAATATCGTGAATTCCAATGATTTGGTCCAGGATATTTATGAAACAAAATGTTCATTTGTTCCTAATGATTGCTTTCCCTTTACATATCTCATAGATAGTCAACATTAAAGCAGGAAGAAGCACAGAGTTTATGTTAGAATTGAGTTGCTACGCATTCAAGATTCAAAAGATTGCACATAAGAAGTATTAATGGCAATGCAATTCTTCTGACCTGAGCTCCTCCAACAATGCAACATATATAAAAAAGATACAAAACAAATAGTACAAGAAGTCTATATACATGTAAATAGAATATGAGATGTACAAGAACAGAATATGAAATAAAATAATGTACATTAAGACTAAATGAAATACGGTTTATTGCGGTGATAACTAGTTATATAAATAAGTAGATTCACATGTGACCTGATTTCTTTAAAATGGGCCCTAGTCGTGTCTCTGCAACACCAAACTCAGTCAAATGTAATACCTGATGGTTCTAACTATATAAAATATGTCAGTGGTGCCACAGTGCCGATGTGCTGTATCACTGCAGCATCTCGTTGTGTCTG